TGTCATGCAGTCTCGGGACGATTCGCTTGGAAATAGACAAATGGAGGGTCGTTATACGAGTTGGCTTGGTACTCCGCTGCATGCACGATTCTCCTCGTATTATATACGTATACGTTGTTACTCGCTATTGTTTGTTGATGATTCTTTTTTGCTGCTTTGCTTGACTTGCGATCTGAAAGGTCTGCTATGATGTTCGAATCGTTGTTTTGGAATGGTATGATCAGTTCGAGGACCGTTGGTAATAATATGAGAGTGATAAATTTTTTTGTCTTGAATTTACCATAGAATCGTAAATGACGATAGTAGAAAAAATCACAAATTAAGAAAATAGTCGAAGTTTTATATACAATTTAGCGATCAGTTATAATTAATTTATTAGTCGAATGAACTTTGCCAAACCATTATGATTGTGAAAGAATTTATGCTTTGAAGAAAATCATTTTAGTTGCAAATTCTAATTATACAAACAGCAGATCTATCAACATGACTTAGTATTATTATTGTAAAGAGTCTACTAATATATTATTATCTTCAAAACTTGTCGAGATTGAATTTTCAATGTAATTACAGAAAAAAACTTATAACTCAGAAACAGAATCGCCATTTACTCAGCACATTTTTCATGCTTGTCCAACCGACCAAAAAAACGTGACATCCCCCTCGTGCAAAGGCAAAACAATTTCGAAGCGCATAATCCCGAAAACTCGCAAAAAGTCGTTTACAACGTGATTCCGTGGCAACATACACAGCACAGCAGCACATCGACAATAGTTGCGTTCTCTGCCCCCGCGCGCTCGCACCGTTTTCCGGCGGGGTTTGCAAAATGCGCTCGCGGGATGGTGGTGGCGCGAGAACGAGTTGAAGTGCTGCATGTATGTGTGTGAGTGTGGGTGTGTATGTGCGTGCAGAGAGACGTATACCGCAATCCGCGGCCGAGCTACAACATGTTTATGTATCGTCGCCGGCATTAACATCGCTATTTATGCAGGCTTTAACTGCACTGCGATTCTCTCTCCCTCACTCAGCCACGCCGCGGCCGCTGTCTCTAGTGATTCTCTCTCTCTCTCTCTCTCTCTCTCTCTCTCTCTCTCTCTCTCTCTCTCTCTCTCTCTCTCTCTCTCTCTCTCTCTCTCTCTCTCTCTCTCTCTCTCTCTTTACGCTTGCTACAACGCGGATTGTTTCCCAGTTATTGTCCCGTTTGCCGTAGCTTTGCTAATTTTCCAGGCAGAGAGAAAACCAAACACTCGTGAAATTCATCTGCGACTTTTGGTGATTTAACAACTCGTTGATTGACGTAGATGACACACGCGAGTAGAAGATATATGACGAGTGCTGTCCGTAGGGTACGATGTCAGCCAGACCACACAAAAGCTTCTCAAGCTGTCAAGCTTTCAAAATCATTAGGATCAAGCAAAACAAAAAAAGTCAAGTTCATAGTGCGCGTGTCCACATGTGTAGTAGTTACGACCAATGTCGCCGGATAAAGATGGCGTAGAATTGACGAGCTGGCTACGTAACAAAAACAATTAAGCCTCGCGTGAGAGACGCAATAATTAGTAGTTGTGATCCTCGAGAAACTATTCAATTGTAGCTTTGAGCTTGTGCTCTAGTGCTAGCGCAGCTTTATCATACAACAGTGCTATCGAGTTTGCTACGCAAGTTCTCGACTTCCCTCGGCTCGCTGCACACGATCTCAACCCGTAAGCTTTGGTATCTTTTCGCGGTTTGGCCTTACTCTCGTGGTTTTGCCTTGCGTGTGCGGGAATTAGAAAACTCGTTTAAGACGATAAACGACGTGCGGTGTGGGTATATGGGTGACGCAAAGCTTCCTCGCATGACACTAGATTACATACACATTGAATGACGAGAGTTTTTTTTTGCGGGATGATTTATGGTGAGAAAGCGAATCGATCAAGTAACTACAGAATGCTTGGAAAAGTTGTTTGTGACAAATTTTTAGACTGTCATGCTCAAACATTATTATGTGGACAACAGCGATGATACGAGTCTGCAATATCGTTTGTCAATCTTTTTCTCGTAACCCTACGTGGATGCAAAAAATTTCATTCCTTGCTAGTTTGACACTGAAGTTAAGCCTTCCATGTCATGTCGCGCTAGCAATAAAAGACAGTTAGAAATTCATTAATGAACACACATAAAAGTCTATTTTTAAGTGAATCCACGAAAAATAAAAAAAAAAATAAAATAAACGGTGTCAGATCCACGGAAAGAAACGGTCGCGAACGGTATATGCAAGAGAAGGCTGCGGCGCTTGCACTCCTATATACGTGACATCACGACGACTAAGAGAGAGAGAGAGAGTTCTCGTTGACAGAGCTAGCGCAGACAGCAGCGGCGCGCTGTGGTGCACTTGTCGGCCTGCGCTGCCTTGGCGCTGAATATTCCGGGGGACGATTATCTCGTTGAGTAACGCCGACGAGAGAAGGATTTACTCTCACGGCGATGAGCGACAAGCTCGAGGGAGAGATTTCGAAACGCCACCGCTTGACGTTGTCGTTGTCGAGGCATGGCAGAGATGCAACAACAAAAAAATACAATCCCGCTAGTTTCGAAAATGTGCGATTGCGAACGAGTCGCTAACTCTTATTTTCCTTTATTCTCGATCGAGGAATTGCTCTCGATTAGAAGTGCTTTATAAAGCTGACGTGAATGACGTCTAGATGAATATCATGTAGGTCAACCTTTGAGTGCGAGAGCATTGTTAAGCCTCTCAGCTGTTTTTGACGTGGAAATCCGCACTTTAGTTGTAAGCTCTCTCTCGCACGTGTGCGCAGCCATTGTCGCGTTATTGGACTTGCATTCGGTGAGGAAGGAGGTGGGTATCAAGCGCGTCACACATGAAAAAGCCAGAGAGGGTCCGCGGTCAACGACTTTCGCACGCCTGGATTAGACGCGAACGGGCGGCGAACACATCAAGGAAACGAGGTTGATGCGTTGTTTGAATTAATTCATATGGCGCCTCGAGCTTTTTTTTAAAGCTTCCTGGAAACTATACTGCCATGCGGTTGACCTATTTGATGTGTTTTAACGTCACCAACGAACGTGCCTCTCTCTCTCTCGCTCGCTTTTTGGATTAATTTGGGTAAACGAGCGAGCGGCGCGGCTTTGTTTGTTTCGTGATCGAGGCTGACTAAGAGATTAAATGTGCTTTTGCCTGTGTAAGCGATCTTCGGGCAGAGTCACGAGTGGTAGAATAAGGTGTAATTGAAAGAATGGGCATTTGCACATTTTTTGCACTTTAACTTATTGGAAATGAAAGTTATGCGCGCCATGTACTTGAAAACTGACGAGCGAGTTTTTTTCGTGATTCAAATATTTTTGGACATTTATTATAACCGCGAGCAAACTCATTACTCTTTCGAGAAAGAACGTTGAACGACTGGATGAAAAAAATACGCGAGGGATGAGAAAAGCGCGGTAGGTAATGCACATACGCACACAGCGTCATAAAATATGCTGGAAAACGAGGAGAAACACCAGCAAAGATTTATAGAGCAGCGAGCAAGCGGCGAGCTACAATATCATTCTTTGGACTTTTTTTTCTCTGCCTAGTTTGTTTGGGGCGACTAAAGGAAAAAAAAATAAATAAAAATACGCTGATTGGCCTGTGATTGCGAGAATTAAAATCGGTTATCGCGTAGTTTACTAGCTTTACCGCTATTGGTGCTGTAGTAAATGAATAAAAACTGCATCCTGCGATACGTGAAAAACATTGTTTACTTTAACGCTTCGAGTTGGGAACTGGATTACCAATGCGTTTCCAGATTTGAACTGCACAAGGTACAAAATCTATTTTTTGTTGTCGAAAGTAAATTATCTGTTTCATGTTTGTTCAACTATCCGACTTTGTTTATCCCTGCAATGATTAAATATTAATCCACGAAAAACACCTTCGCTATCGACCGCATATCCCCAAAGTAAACTTCATAGCATTTCGCACCGTCTACTTTGTAAGCATTCGCCGCAAGTCTTTTCCTCCCGTGTTTACCTGCGTTCGTTCTTTCTTTTTGCTCTCTTCTGCTTCCACCCCCCCCCCCCCTCCCTCTCTTTCAAGAATCAATGGGCTATGAGCGCTTCTCAGCGTCTGTTCGCTCTTTTTTTCGAGATTATCTCTCGAGCCGTCGGTAAAAGTTATGGCGTGACTCACGGCAATTAAAGGAGTCGAACGTTTTTATTTTGGTTGTTGGCGGTAAAAAGAAAACAACAACAAGAGGACGCGCCGTTTACTTGAGCAAATTAGTTGAAAATTTTGCGCTAGTAAAATCCGCTAACATGCTGTAAAAATGAAGTGAACCGCAGGCGGCGGCTAAAGTCGATCGCTAGAGCCACTTAGATCATTCGAAATCGGGCTTGACGTGAGGCGAAGAGGCGCCTGTCTGTCATTTCCGAGAAAAGTGATGCCGACAATCGCGCGAAAGATCTCGTGTCTTATGTGTGTTGTGTGTCTAGGCTGGTTATAATTGATCAGCACGCGAGCCAAATTAAGCGAACAAAGGACTGTGCGCGAATAAGATTAGGATTGCAAAGATGGTAACAGAAATCGCAAGAGCCTACGTATAATTGATCTTTTTGATGCGCGCAGCGATCGCACACAGCCGTTAATTATTTGACACGATGGTGGCAGGCACGAGAGGTATAAATATACGATCGAAAGTTCGCTCACCGGCAGTAGGTATGCAGCTGGCTGCCGAGCTCTTGGAAAATAATAATCAAGGAGTACGTGCAAACTTTTTCCATCTAGATATAACATTCGGAAACGGCGCGGAAGAAGAAGACGAGTGACTCCCAAGCGTGTATTCCTATCCCCCGAAAACTTTTGCCCATTGGCAATGTGTCTGAGAAGGCACGCGCGCACGCGAGAGCCATTTTCGGATGAATCACGAGCAGCAGCGGGAGGAATCGCACGTAATTGGGTGTCGTGCACGACAGGTAAAAAAAAGAAGGAAAGAAAGCAGAGGAAGAATTACATGGATACTCACATAGATCAATGGCGAGGGCCAAGCGCAGTTGAAGAGCACACAGCAGAAGTAACCTTGGGTAGTCCATCGTACTGCTTCTGCTACTTTCTTGTACGGTAGCCGGTAATCATCCAACTCTCATAACCGTTCCTGCAACAACAACCAAAAAACCAGATCGAGTTAAGTGTTGTGCCGTGGCTATGTATCTTCTTGAATCCAGTTCTTTGCAGTTAGACAGTCGCGCACGCGGCACGATTAATTCGATCAAATTGATTTCCAAGACTGAAAGTTATTTCAGCTGCGCCCTCTTTTTTTAATTAACTACTTGCCTCTCCTTTATAACATACACCCGCGTGCACATTCATAGTTATTTCCCTCTGCGAGATTGCGCGAAATGGGAATGCTTCTCGAGATAACGAATACATCGTTCTTGAAATTTCAGCAAAAGTAGCCACACACACGTACACAGAGACGCACACACAGTGTATTTTATTTCGTATATGAGATTGCGCGCGAGATTAAATGGCGCGCGGAAAGCACTTTTAGAGCTCGTCCAATGGGTCTGCTGCGCATGTTTGTTGGGAATGGACAAAGGGCTACATTCACGGCTTTAAGCCCTGCAGCTCTCTCTCTCTCTCTCTCTCTCTCTCTCTCTCTCTCTCAGCCATTACGCGTCATTATCGAGATTAAGATCGGATCCTACGCGCGTCAGTATTCGAAAGAACGCACAAGGGGAGGAGGTAAACGACTACTTTTTTAGTATATCGACTCGCTCTCGACCCTTGTGCATTTCTTGACAAAAATCGAGTATTTTTTCAGAAAACAATTTCTTTTTCCACGAATGTTCAATTATTTGTCTAAAATTGGCAATCCCATCTGAAGTTTAATGCTCGGAAAATTACCGCAAGTCTTATAAGACCGACGGAAGCTCGTCTTCCTCTGTTTTTAAGATCGAGCATCTAGATGCGCGCCGCCCGCAGCGGTTGGTAGGAAAATAAGCAGCGTACGCGAGTCGTGTCTCTCTTTATATTCGTCCATCTCTGCGGGCAACGGGAAAAGTTGAAACGATCGGCTTGGAAGAGAAAAAGGACAGTTGTTGCTGGTAGTGGTACAGTTTTCGGCTAATTAACGGAAGCCTCCTCGTCGCTGCAAAGAGGAGAAGGTCTTTGGCCGATGCTTATCCGCTGACTCGGTGGGAACTGTACGCAACGCTGACTCCAGAGAGTCGAGCCTATGCTATATTCCTTCTCGTTATTTCACCAAGCTGCTTCTCTTTTTCTGTCTTTGCGTATGTATGCGTCGCGTATGCTTTCCCAAAGTTTCTTTGGCGCTTTTTCTAATTTGGAACTTCAAGCTCGTATGAATATGCGTATTCGTCAACGATATGTGATCGTTCAACTCCGGAGTTACGTTCGGTCGCTATTTTCAAAACAACAAACTCTTTCACATGTTCATTTAGAAACAGTTGACTAGACGAATAACACAGACTTGCATAAATTAATCTGCGGGCTTTCACTCGTGTTACTTACATAAACAACTATTTCCATGTTGCACGATTGCAGACGCAGAAGATAATCGCTTGTAAACATCACTCTATTTCGAGAATAGCATAGATATGCATAGATATTAGGTAACGTATCTTAGTATTTGCGGTCGGGGATTTTTCTGGCTGAGCTCGCCCAGACACCATATACAACTCAGCAAATTGCAGTATGAAAACGAAAGAAAAAAGAGCACCGTGCGCACAACGAGGCTCGCTCCTCTCTTCCGCGAGAGAGAAAGAGGGACTTGTCGTCGCGATCGTAAAGCAATCGTCGCTTGCGCACGCGACGATAAGGAGAGGAGGCTGCTTCTGAATTTTTGCCTTGTGCGCTTGTTAGCTGCTTTATGGCTTTCGGCTGATTTATAAGATAAGAATCGAACAACGTCCACTTAATCGAGAGAATGCTTGAGTCGCGTTCCTCACTGCTATTAATCACTTTGTTTATTAGTTCATTATGGGCAGAGAGAAAGAAAAAAAGAAGTTAAGTTGTCGAGAGATGACGCTCTTCAATATTTTTCCGCCTTATTCTCAATTGAATTGTTCATTTGGTGACAAGAGTAGCTTTAAATACAAGTATATAAATTTATTGCTGTAGCTCTGGGTACTTTCGATTCATCAGTCCACTTGATATTAATTTAAAGTTTATTAATTACATTATTAGAGTGCAATGTGTACGATAGCAAACAAGAGCAATGAATACCGCACAGCTTGCCGTCAAATTCTCTTATAGTAAAAAATTCATTTCAAATTCTTCATAAATAGTGCAGTAAAATAAGAAATTCACCCCGAGAAAAAACAAGTTAAAAATAAATCATTTGTTGTTGCTCAACTTTCGCGAGCTCTCGGAACTATATGGAACATCATAATTAATCAAGTCGCATCTCTCTCTCGTAACTCTGATATCAGAGATCCTCGAGGTGGAAATTGTCCTCAACCGAGTTTCCGGCTCGTTAGAGCTTGCACGCGACGGCGAAAACCCAAGTCTGAAAGAAGATATGCTCTCTAGCAGTAAAACGTCTGCTCGCTGAATTTTTACTTTATATTTGCCGTCCTGGAAAAATGAGGTTAAACAGTATAAATCAGCCTGCTTTCTACTATTATTTTCAGTTAGTCAAAAGCTCGCGATGAGAAAGTTGCGATTAATCAAATTGATATTACTCGGTGTTCATACATGACATCGCATGCAAATCCACGCAGAGTTTTATCAGTCGCGATAATCTTCAATATTGTGCGCACACGAGTCTGATCGTAATGTAATTAATCGTATTTTTTTTTCATCAAACAGGATTGAAAAAAGTGTATCATTCCGCTCGATATGTTTGAATAAAACGGCGCCATACTTCTCCTTAAAAGTCAAGAGAAGAAAGTGCTGATATTTAGTATTTTGGTCTTAATTAAAAGAAATTGTGTATTAAAAAGCACCAGAGTATATGAGAGCTTTAGCTTCCTCTTTCTCGCGTTGATATAATAAATAAGCAGGTAATTATTCGCATGCAGATTGCTTATATGCGTGTATATATATATATATATATATATATATATATATATATATATATATATATATCGTAAATATAGGTGATTGCAAAGTTTTTCGCGCCGAATTTCTTTGTTTTTTTTTTCCTTTAATCGATTAATTAACTCGTCCCTCGTACCGCGCGTTTATATTTATCGTTATACTCAACGCCTTCAGTCTCAACGTCATTTATCTGCCGTTTTCTTGGAGTCGCATTTCACGTGTAAGCCCTGCAACGTGGTATTTAAGAAAAGACAGCGATCGCGATTTGCACACTTCTATTTCTGCATTCTGGCAGAAAAAGGATGCAAGTTACATTGACGTCAAAGAAAGAAGCGATAAATCAATCTTGTCGAAAATCAGTTTGCTCTTTGACACGTCAGTAGGTGGAATAAACTTTCAAACGACTAATTTGCTGATATTATCGGAATATACGCACACGTATATAAGCGCGTGAGAAAAAGAAGAGACAAGCTTGCGCGCTCGCACTGCGAGACTAATTACCAAGACTACTGGCGGCGCGTGAGCGACCGCCTTTAGCACCCCGCGGAGAAAGACGAGTCTTAGATACTTATCGTGTGACGAGTGAATGTATGTGCGTACGTATGAGTGCGAAAAATGAAGTATACGTAAGCATTAAGCTGACTGTGTATTTTAAAACTGTTTGAAGAGTAAAAGTAGAACGGATTCATTAGTTTGAGAGAGAGAGTAAAATATACGTTCTCGTTGTAATTGCAAGTATACCAAATTTTCATCAGCCAATGCTCAATCATGTGCGATAATGGCGCGAATGATGTTAATTAGTTGACCAGTAAATAAACAATTCAAACAACCTTTTTACATCTTCACGCTTGTCAGTTTCACTATAAACTCTGCCGAACAATGCATTTAATTATAATTATTTCCAAATAATTAGCAGTTAACAATATTAAAAGTGCAAGCGATTGATCGAAGAAAAACTCATTTGCAAACAGTTATAATTGAAAACGCAAGTAGCTATCCCACAAAAAGACGCACATAATGAAGCATAGCAATAAAGCGGAGCGATTTTAAGCTCAACGCTCATTCTGGGACGCGTGAAAATGAGAAAATCGTGCACTCGCGATGTAAAATAATTGTCCGCGATATAAAGAGGGATAAAAAAAATAATAACTCATCGTGTCGATCTCGTCTATCATCGTTTTTAACGAGCAATTGTTGGCGGTGTTCGCGCGTAAACTTTGCTCTTGGCTGCAGAAAATTAATGCAGCTCTCTCACTCAGCAGCAGCGGCGTAGAATAACTTTAAAACTCGACATGATGGAACACGCGGCGAGATGGCACGCGATTCCCGCGCGCCACGCTGGTTATAAATTAAGTTCGCTTTCTAAACGAGAGAGCCGCGCACTTTTAGCGGACATAACGCTCGTAATTTATTTTGGAAATTTAAACGGGTTACTTTACATTTCTCATCCCAAAAATTGTTTGACTGCTGGCTGCAATTTCACAGCGCGTCGAATATGGGATTTCAAAGGAATGCACGTTAATATGCGGAATATAATTATATTACGACTCCCACTTGTATAATTTATTCGAGATAAAACGCCCAGGCTGCTTGTTTTTTTTTTGTTGGGCGGGAGCTTAATTAATCTGCTTGACTGATTTAAAATGTTCGAATTCGTTTTGGCGAGAAGCACTCTACGTCTCTCTTTGAAGTCTACGAACGGAATGCGACGATCAAGGCGCGCGCAGACTTCATGTCCTGAATTACGCGGAGCAATAAGTAAGAACCGGCTGGATGATAAAGATTTTGAAAATTCACGGCATCGTGTATGGTGCAAACGGGCCTCGACATGCGAAGAGGCAGCGTTTTAACGATCCGTAACTCACGTCCAAATATTCGCCTAGATTCTCGAAAAGGGGGCCAACTTTATTCAGCACAGTCCGCACGCGATATACGTGTCTTGTCCGCGCGCGATCGATTTTTTCTCCCTTTTCATTGCGGAGATCTGAATTGATAGCCCGGGTTGAAGTTTTAGTACCTGCTGGTACGTCATGCAAAATAGTTGGTGCTTATTTATAATGCAGCGACGATCATTGCGGCCTTTGCCTAAGGATACACAGAAAGCGCTGATTTACATGTTGGGCATATGAAGCTGTTGTACGATAACTTTTTTTTCAACAAAATTTCTGAAGAGATGCGCAATGGTTCTTTTTTATTGCACAAGAGAGTTGCGCGTGCAATGCTAAATCTTGGCGCAGAACAATGGAAATATCTTGAGCGCCGATGCGAAAGGCATCGATAAACTTTTCTTCCGAGATTTCATCGCCGAAGTAAGTTTCACAAACTACCGTTGCATAAAGTTGCTATCTGATATTGAAGCGAGTGCACGGTGTTTATAAAAATATTTTCTTTTCTTTTTTAATATTCCATTGCCGTGATAGGCCTATGAGTCACGTTTTATTCATTTGCATCAAGTCAAGATAGGCTTCGTAGTAGCAATACGCTAGTTAGTCGAGTTTTTCTCATCAAAGAATTTTTTTACCACGGAAAAAAGACAAGTTGAAGCTCTTTTAATAAATAATTACTGTTTACCGAGTTCCTCCCTAATGCAGCTTGATGATCTGGATGAAATTACGAATTTCTCGCAAGTACCTCGGCAAGTAATGAATCGAGAGAGAAAAAGAAGTTTCAAGCATCAGATAATAACTGAACAGAAAATCATAACAAGAATAAACTTGATTTGCTCGCTGAACTAACTGTTCATAAAGTGTAATCTAACGGTGTTGCAGTATCCGTCGCGGATAATATCGCAAAAGCCGCGGTATGAAAGAAAAAATGCAGCGTATTTCAGTTGTGGAAAATTATAAAACCAATCAGTCAGCGCGCGCGTGAGTTTGCGAGGAGGGCAAATCAAAACACAATTCGTATAGTCGGTGGCTTCAAATTATAGGCTTGCGTGCGAGATATCGAAGGCGCAGAGAGAAAGAAAAAGAAGACCTCGCGAGCAGTAGACAGAGAGAGAGAGAGAGAGAGAGTCGAGTCATGAATTATGCAGTTGGCTTGGGGCTAGGACTTATACCGGTAGGAACGAGCGAGACAAGTGAGTGAGCGAGAAACCCAAGAAGACAGAGAGAAGGAGGTTTCCAGTAGTAGGAGTGAGTAGTTGCACACTCTGCTCCGCCGTATAGTACAAGTGCGCCACGCGTTAAAACTCACACGTGTGCCACTGAACAAAACGTTTTCTCGCCTCGCCCGAAATCTCTCCCCGACTTTGATCGTCCAATCAAGAGAGTGAATTGATTTTCTCGACGACGCAATATAGCGAGTTGCGTCGTCCAACCCTATTCACGACGTGCATTTCCACGCCGCTCGCTGCATCTTACATTCAAATGTCCAACTTGAAAACTACTTCTCGCTGAGCAGACAACATTGTATAACTTCTACTGGCAAAAGTTGTGCTGCGACTCTCGCACGCCTCGGAAAATTAAAAATTCATCGCTATTTGTCGTCCGACGCCCTCATCATTTCCGTGGCAACTGAATCACAGTCAAATGAAAAAGTCACGAACCGAGAGAGAGCAAGAGAGGCAAAATTCACGGCTACTATATAGAGATGAATCAAGAAGAAGAAGAAGCAAGCAAGTGGAGCGCGTCGTCCGAAAGAGAAAAAACTTGGATTTCCATAGAGCCGTGATATCGTCTCAAGGGCCGACGACGTTGAAATTACAAACGGCCCTTTTCAATCAGCGAAAGGAAGCACGCGCGAGAGAAAAGCTGGTCATTCCAAATTCATCTCTTCCCTTAGGCCGTAAGAAGTAAGTGCTGAGAAAAGGGTTTTCTCAAATTTTTATTTGAAATAATAAAAAAAATACAGTCGATTGGTCGAACAGAGACAGACAGTGTATTTCAGTGAATCGTGAATCAGACAGTGGCAATGATAACACGATTAATGTGAAATTCAGCGCCAGCAATCGCGCGAGCATTGTTGCGAAGACACAACGCTCGTACACACACATATATCCGTCAATGAATGTGACAGATAAAGAATAATCCGTTGAATTAGATCGAGCAGAGAGCGGGTAATCATATACATGTACGCACGGGAAGGGAAGCTCTATGATTCCGTCAGAGCGAATTAATCAAAAGTCCAGTCGAATATCATAACGCTTCCCAATCCGTTCGCTCGGACGAGCGGAAGATCGAATCTTGGGTTAATTAGCGTCATTGAATGCGCACCTCTCTACCGACCGTCTGCCTCTCGCTCTCTCTCTCTCTCTCTCTCTCTCTCCCTCACCATTCGTGCCGCCTTTGATAAAGAATCTATCTATCAATATCAATGCTTTTTTTCTGCTCTGACGCCCTGTTTAATAAAGTCGATTTAACCCGCTCATTCATTACCATCCGCGTGCCAGCATCAAATGCATGCGTTTCTCTCGTCACACGGAATTTCACTGCTTCTACGTAATATACATCACAGCATGATTTGATTTTATAACTAACTTCTTTTTTTTCCAGTGAATCGCTGTCGTTCATATTACCTATCATTTTTTCGTACTCTCCTCATCGATGTATTCAATTGATTACGATCACGAAATGTGAAGCATTTGTTGAAAAAAAACATAATGAAAGGGTTGGAAATCAATATCGTTAACACGAGACGATAAAAAAATCTTACGTAATTCCCAAGCATAAAAAGCACAAGGCGCATCTGCCTCCCTGAAGATTATGCATCATTCTCATGGCATTGCGTCCATAATTATAAGTTAGGCCGAACCGGCGTCTTTCTCGCACACACCTCGAGTCGGTCATTACAGCGTATTGACTTATAGTTACATACGCGACGGCAGTGGCGGCGGCCCATCTGCATTCTCAACTTCTTGGTCGCTGGCGGCAGCTTTTACGATTCGCAATTTCATTGGCGCACCGGACGTGACTTTACCTTCGAAGTACGAGTAAAACGAAGAGTAGGCCTTCGAGCATAAGAGACAATTGAACAACGCTCGCGCTCGAGTTTATTAACGAGCGAACCTTGAGAAGTTCTGTAGAGTCCAAAGTGTTAATTTGGACGAGCAGAACTTGCAGGGATGACAGCAAGACCAAAAACCATATATAGGATGGTATTTTATATGTTTGAAAGGGGATGTTGTCTTTAGCTCTACTTCCGATTAGATTGCTTTTTCTTGCTCTCTCTCTCTCTCTCTCTCTCTCACTCTCTCTTAGCGTGGATCGAGATAATGCTTCGTGACCGTTTCGCGAGCGGGGATTTCAGTTTCTCTCTCCGAAGGGGCGTTACGAAAGCCGCACACGAGTCGTGTTTCACGAGAGTGAGCTCAAGTTTATTTCATTGTTTTTTCGTGAGCTGCGAACGAAGGTGAAGCGGAAAAATTTGCTCGCTTTTCTTACTGACGTTCATATACCTTTATGTGACTACGTGGAAGACGGCTAGCTGCTACTATTGGATCGTGGGGAAGATTCTAGAAAACTCACCTGTAACAGAAAATGTTTAAAGTATAATTAGACTTGTGCGTTATTGAGATGTTGTCTAGAGAAAGATAATTATTGGAAGCGGATGTACGGAATAAATTAGACAGATGAATCAACTACGCTGCCTCTTCAAAAATGTAATAATTCAGCCGTTTTTTCGAGCTGCAGCAGGTTCGATGACACGGCAGATAGACGAAACCCGGCTGCTGCTGGAAACCGATTAATTACATCGACAAAGTCTGCATTTCTTTTCTTTTCACGGTTTTACGAGCCGTGCGGTTTTGTGAGTTCGAGTGCGCCGAACAAAAGGGTTTTTTCAGCCACAGTTGGTAGGCGGCGACTTTCAAGAGTTAAGGGATATTAGATATATCGTGACTCTGAACAAATGTTGGGTGTTGCTGCGAGTTCGGTTATTTTCTCGCTTCCAAGAGGGCGAAAGAAGTTAATGATGCTTAATTAAGTGCCCTCGCATTTTTCCCTTCGTAGCCTGGTTACCTTCTCCCCTAAGTTCATTTTTCGAAGGATTTTGCATTTACAAATTAAAATTTTTAGTGTACCTGTTGTTTTTTTCCGAAACGAGTTTCTTGTTTTTTTGTTTGTCACTTTTCCAATTGCTCTATAATTTCGTAGTATATACTTAGTTGTACTAAAAAATCATATGAAAAGGTTCTTTGAACAGATCGTTAGAAAGCGCGTTCACGTTCGAGGAAATCATTAGCGAAAAAGAGTAAAAGAAACGTAGGTCTCTGGTATATAACATTTTTATTTGAAGCAGCAGCAGCAGCACACAAGCAGATTAAAAATGTATTTCAACGCGATGCGAAAAAAGGATTGCCAGAGAGAACCAGCCTCTTTCTCCTCCCTCCGTCCTTCTCTTAAGAGCAGTTTCCATCCCCTCGATTTGCAGAGAGTATCGAAAAGAAAGGAGAGATGTATACCAACAAAAGGGGTAAAGACCGGATGACAGAGAAAAGTCCGCCCTTTCGATCTACCCGTTTACCTCTTCTTCGTTGTCGATCTCTTTAAAGGATGGCCTTCTTCTTTCCTTCTTTTATCAAATCGTTTATCAATATTTTGCGCGCTGCAAGGGGATTCTGCAAAAAACAAGAAGCATTTTTGCAATTCCATTTTCCAGAGAGCAAAAAAAAACACGATGATCGAAGCGTGATCAAATGATTTTTGCGAAACGAGTATTTCTCCAAGTTTGGTGTCAGGAAACGATAAGGCTTATTTCTTGTTCTCACTCAGCGAATCCTCTTGCTGTTTTAAAGTATAATTGAATTTATTTTGCAATTAGCTATGAGATGATTAATTGAATTTGCTCCTTTTGTACTGACTTCTTTGTATAGACGTGAAGCTGTTGAAATGATAGCTTTATCAATACATTCAAATTGAGAGAAATACTGAAAATCCCATTATCTCTAAATTTTATAAAGTGCATACTACGAAATACCCTCGAGTTTACGTAGATTTATAGTGAAAAGTTAGCCGTGAAAACGAAGAATCGGAAAATCAGCTGGTAGAAATAGAAAAGAAAGTAACCGGCCAACTCGGAGATTATGCGCGTGTTACGAAAAAAACGACAGCAAAGACACACACAGAGCTCGCGCGAAAAAAGAGCAAAAACAAAGTAGAAGGAACAAACTAAAACAGAGGCGCGAGGAAAGTCCAGAAGCAGGCAGCAGCATTCGAGAGAGAGAGAGAGAGAGAGAGAGAGAGAGAGAGAGAGAGAGAGAGAATGCAAAAGGAAACTTTGCCGTCGGAGACCTTTCAGACGAAAAGTGCGCGTAGTGGTGCGGGAACTTGGAACAAGGGAATGCTTTTGCATCGGGCCGTGTGAAACGAGCCAAAAAGTAAGGCGGAACATCGGCGACCGATGATAAAACCAAAAAGAAGGAAGCAGAAGATGGAAAAAACGAGGGCACGTGTATGCGTGTGCACGCATACCAGATGGTATATAGGTGTATTTTTTCGATGAGAACGGGAATTTTGCACACACGCACGCATACGAAACAAAAGGAGGTGGTGGAGTATTGTACGAGGATATGCGATTTTTTTCTATACACACGACTGGCTGATATATGCCATTCCGATGATATTAATGGCACTGGCTGCTACTGTGCTTTCTCTCGTGCATAATGCGATGACGGAATATTCGTTATAGCATAACATCCAAGCGGCGAAAGATTATTAAATCTTATTAAAATTCATATGCTAGTGGAATTAAAAAAAGAAAACAGAAAAACTGAATATCCACGTTATTGAAACTATTTTCCTCTCGAACACAGCATTCTGATCAAAGCTATCGGAGAAAAAAGGAAGCTATCAAAGAGCAAACGCTCTATATGACAGCGGCACACACAGGCCGATCAAGGTAAAATAAAAGGAGTCGATCAACGCGTGTGCGAGCACAAGGTTCCAATAATGACAAATCGGCCAGAAAAGTCGGCGAGGCACATCAAAGCGACGGCGCAACTTTGGCATGGCAAAATTGCGAAATCCTTCATTACAGCAGCTCTTCCAGGGAAAACTACGTATACGTGGGTGTGACGGCGGCGCGGCTTTGATTTCCGCGTTCCACCACGGGCCTCAAAGTAGTCTGGTCCCGCTCTTTTTCAACTCTACTGTTCGTTGGCTCGCTCTCGATTAATATTCGACGTATAGCATGTACATATATGCCAATAGTAATTTATCGACGAGGTGCCCAGCAAATATCAGTTATATTCTCGTGCTCGCGATGAATAATTGAGTTTTCAGCTTTGTTTGTGTCGCGACCGAATGGTTCGCCAATTCTCTGATTTTTATATTTGGTTAGTAAAGGGTTTTGTTTTTTTAATGTCCGTTTACCCGGCGAAAAAATGAATGAGACCGCTGGGAAAATGGAAAGCCGAAAAGCCGAGCTCGAAAAAATAGTCTGAAAGATAGTCGCGATATAGAATAAATATAGTTTCTGAATGTATCACATTCGAGAAGAAAACTGTTTTGGAGACTCATGCGCTTCTGAAGAGATAGGCGCAGTTATATCTCACCCCAAACTAAACAAGTACACAAGGAGGAATGTATTATTGCTCTTAAGGAAATACTTCTATATTTGAAGAGTGATTAGAGAAAAAGGATCTCCCAGCATGGGAGGATGTTTTTACATCTAATTTTGAAACTCCAAAAACTTGTTACTAAAGCACAAGGACGCTGAGTCCCAGTGGGCATACCTGCCTTATCAGTAAGATAAGAATCTTTCTTTCGTTCTCTTTGACGTGAGCGCCGAAAGTGCAATATATACCGAACAAGATATTTGCGATAACTGTTGAAAGTTTTGTTATCTTTCGTTAGTCATTGCGGGCTATAAAGTCAATTTTATTTCTTCATCGCGTTGAATCACAGTGCGAGCGTCAATGCGGATAATAAATTTATGAGCGCTGATGATCACTAATTCATGAATGATCTTTTGAAAGCGTCCAGGTGCTTATCATTATTATTTCATCAACCGTATTGCCTTCATCCCACGCGCGAGATGCATAACATTCCAACGGAATTGATGACAGCGGATCGTCCGCGCGTCAAGTGACATTTTTCATGAGATATTAATTGCACCATTTCACCGACTAAATTTTCTTTAAATACGAAATTGCCGATGGATTAATTATCGTGAGTGTGCCCACGTCGAAAAGTCCAATGGGAAAGAAAAGGTTGCGTAACGAAGTCGTTGTACGGCCAGCAGCAGACGCACGTTTTAAAATTCAATCACACCGCTGCTCGTCGTCCCTCCTCCGACGGCACAAAGCTTCGTCGAGCAAAAAAAGGCGAGATTCACAGTCGTACACACGACCCTTCCATATAACTATGGGGGAATTAAAGGCCACTTTCAGCGCCTCTATCTATCTCTTTTCAGGCAAAAAATCGTCGAGGCGTCGCAAGAGAGAAACAGATCGGGAAAGTCGAGACAAAAGAGCAAAGAAAGCCTGCACATGTGCGCACGTCTATAATCTCCGACTACGTGCGCAGCCTCGCGGGAAGACGCCGCTTGAGAGCGAGAGTAAATATTTAGGAATTTTTGAAGAGGCCCAAGTGCCTAAGAAAACAGTTTACAGCTTGTGCACGCGAGAGCTCTGCAAGCGTGCCCAGTCACTCGCTCTTTCCTTCGATACTGCTCCAGCGCTTTCCACGCTCACCCTCGCCTCTGGCTTCTCGTCTTTCGCCGACTTTACTTTTCACTCTCTCTCTCTCTCTCTAGTTTTTTTTTCGATTTTACTAGGCCGATGGGCGCAAGTAACGATGCGCTTTTCTTTGGATTTTTCATTTGGCATTTCGCAGACGTACGCTTGGATTGGTCGTGTACGGACAAACGCGCCGCGAGGAACAAAAAAAGCTGAAAACCTATTAAACGCAGAGACACGTGTCGTCGGAGCTTGGAAAACATATCGTTATACAGGCACAAAGTCGGAACGCGAAGAAATAAAAAAGAATAGTCAAACACAAAAATCCTGAACGTTGTCTATTTGACTTTCTTCTTCCTACTTTCCATCCCTCCTTTCTCACGTGGCGCACACTCCACCCACGAGCCGAACGCCTGCGACTTGTACGGTTTTCGTTCTCGGAACCATCTCTGGCCGTGCACCCAACTCTCAAACATCCTGAGATGCTTTTTGGCAGCGCACGCACGTTCCACCATCCGATGTCCATTATGCGACGGCTCCTTTTTTCTGTAGCTTCTTCGGCTTGGGATAGTGAGTAATGATCGGAGATAGCGCTTCTTTTCCCGAGTCGGTGCAATTAATTGACTTTTACCGAGCGAGGCAATTTTCGGTTCAATACAACATTTGGCTGCGTTAAATTGAATACAGTTATAGGATACGAAACCACATCGAATTGGTATATAGCGCTCCAATTATTTCATCTTTCAACCATCCAGTTAATTAGAATGAACGATAATATTGCGAAATTGTACGGGATAATTCCCTCGACAGGAGTAAGCGCAATAAACAAAAGTATCTGCAGCATTCGCCGCCAAATTGAATTGCCAATTATCGTCGTATATTAAAATTGAATTTACAATAATTAAGAGCTTATAAAATAACAACGGCTTGGCCTGCCTAATCTTCGCAAAATCAATGAGCTATTCCTTTTTGATCGCCGTATACACAGGGAACTCGCGCTTTTAATAATCCCGCGAGCCGAAGCTCATACACACAGACTTTGAAAGCACGAGAAAATCCTTTATTTGTATGCCCCGTCGCGTACTAGGTAATTTACAAAACACAAACGCCTCGTGCTCCCGTGAAAATTTATTAGCCGAAAAATGCGAGGGGGGTACCTTCTTCTTTCTTGCTCTCGCGAACTAAGGATAATCGTCTTTTTTATTATCGCGCACATTCTCATGTAAATCGCGCATCTCGCATTACTCATAACAAGAGGCGCCGAAGAGTTTTTATCGTCGTCTCTTTGGTGCGCTACTCCGCAGACAGGATAAGTTTGATCAAATAAGAGTGACGATATACATCGCATTCTTTCTATCCGGCCTGCTTCAGCTTTACGACGCGGGTGTGTTATCTCTGCTCCGTGGCGCAGAAGTGAATTACGATTTGATTGCTTTCGATAAATGATATAGCTCTTGCGCTCTCGAGAAGTCGACGCCTCGGAATTCCTAGTAGAGTGATAACATAATGTGTGTATTTCGAGCTGCGATAAGTTATTGACACAGTAGATGCTAAATTTGTGCATTTTTAATATCACGGGGGGAGGGGATGGTATCGATGGAATATCACGTTTGCACTACATCGAAAATAAAACATATTCGTTTAAAGTACGGTTATTATTCAGGTTACGCTATTAATTTTCTTTATTGAGTACTCATTTAGTGATCGTATAATCCTATGAACCAAAAGTTTGAATATAAGAAAAATCGAGATCTAATTAATGGCCTACATTCATTAGTAACCCCCAAATCCAAATTTTTTTTGAGAAATTTATCAATCATACCCCAAAACAAAAGAGAAAACTAAGAAGGGGAGTTCTTTATAAAGCGGATCGACTTCATTAAAAAAAAAACAAAAAGAAATAAGAATAAGCCTCGCGCGCAATAAATCACGAATCTCAGAGCGATCACTCGACACAAGACTTTGCTCTCTCTTCCGAGATGGAATGGCTAAGCTGATTAGCAGCGTTCGGAAAAAAGCGAGGGCTAATTCCCTGACGGATCGTCCTCGTAATTTTTAAAGTTTGTTAGCGCCACCCGAGCTACTGAAAAGAGAGGCGAGCAAAAAAGTGAAGAAGGGCAGAGGTTGCTTTACAGCCGCGAAAGCTCATTAAGCTCCCGCAGCTGCTGCCGCAGGCGAATCTTGATCCCTCATTCATCGCGTACACGTCCTCTCTCTCTCGACGCGACGCGGATGTTTGCGCGCCCGCGGCCTCTTCGATTTGTCTTTCGCCGCCCGCGCGAAATATTTTGCCAGAGAAAGAGGGATGCTCAGCGGAAATCATTTGCTCTATATATTTTCGGAAGTTTACTGAACTAGTCCTGAACTTTCCGTTCGTTTCGATCGTGATTGGGCTCTGTAATATTGGACTCGTTGTTTCGCTCGTTCTTGTTTTATCGAATTTGATAAATTCTTTTTTCAGTAGTTCTCGAAAACAATCCCACAAATTTCGCACTAGTCATTTTACCGTCTTTTATATCTACTTTACACGCGTACTTTAAATCCATATTGAACAAACCATTCGTGCGCGAATAATTTTTCCACGGAATTCGCTCTCGAATATTTCCAAATCGTTAAATTTCATCGAACGCTGGAAATAATAGACTGGTCAATATATTTATCTCCGCACGTATTTTGCAGAAATTTACCATAAAGAGCAATCGAACAAACGCATGCAGTAGGAAATTCGCCCAATGCATTTGTCCAATATTTAATCTGTTGTTACTCGATATTCTCTTCGAAATATTAACAGCAGCTCACTGGAGCGCGCGCGTACAGCAATACACGAGTGTACTCGGCACAACCAACAAAACGAAAATTATAAAGCAAAAAAAACCGATAAAAGCATAAGCGCTTAATCGTGCCAAGTCCTGTACGAGCGCAGCGAAACTCGTTCGCAGGTGAAAAATTCGCGTGGCACGCGATGGTTGGCAAATTTGAATTTCAGCCCGAACGAATCTATGTGTATCGAAGACTTGGCAACGAGATGCATAATAATCGCCGACGAGTGTATCACGAAATAAATCATTCGGGAAGGCGCAACCGCAGCAATAGCAAATAATCCGAAACAAGAGGGAGAGAGAGAGAGAGAGAGAGAGAGAAAACAATAAATTCACTTCGGTTTCACTTTCTCTTTCTCGCGCGCACAGCGCGTAAACGAAACGAGCGACAGGAGGCAAAATAAATCAAAGCGTTTTGCGTTTATTTATCGCGCTGCGGCAGTGGCAAACGCATGCGTGTATATCCAGAAGGAACCTTCAATGATTCGCTTTCCTTTGAGAGACGGCAGCCGTACTCTCTTTTTCTCACACTTTCGGGGCGGAGAAAAACCGACTCTTTTTTTCGGTTTCGAACGTAGAGTGCGCTCGGTCCTCCTATTTACGAGAAAAAGACATTTTTTTTCAAAATCTGATGTTTTAAAAGACTTTCTTGGTTTCGTAAAAACCAATGCACTGACGATTGTTTAGTAACAGTTGATTGACTTTTAAGTTGCACTCAGTATGAGAGTCATAAAGTAAACAGTAAATCACGCGGACGTAACGTGTTGCGTCTCAAATGACTGCCGCATATGACTTCCTTACAAATTTTGACGCGAGCAAATTCGTTGTTCGATAAATTTGACTATTCGACTAGTATACTGAAGCTTTTGTAAATCACAAGAAGACGATTAGCCAATAAGATAATATTTGCAACTGGCAAATCAATCAACGTGTTGCACGACATTTGAATATTTTACCTGTGAAAGTGCACCAAATGAAATTGTATCTCTTCGAGGTCCAACAGACTCAATACATGGAAAAAACACAAAGAACAATCACGCACCAACAAATAGACGAAGCAACTCGTGAATAACCGAGAAGCAAACAATAAAAATCACAAGTTTTAGCACTGGCAATCACGTAAGACGACGGAGACACAGCATCATCACATCGTGAGGTCGCGTGCAGACGAGCAAGCGGAAAGCGAGCTGCTTAGCACATGCTTTTGTCCGAGATTGTGTCACGTGTGGGGCGTCCTGTGGCGCAGATGAAGCTCGTTAGAGCAGGTCATCGTTCCCCGCGCTACGTAACGATGGATAAACGCAGCAAGAGTCGCAGCGCGAGAGCAAGCAACGGGAAAAATACGTGTGCGCTAGCGCCAGCTGCTGCCGCTCGACTAGCTACGCCTGGCTACGCTGCGCAGCGATGCTTCAACTCTTCGAGTCGCCGCCGCCGCCGCCGCCGCCGTCGCCGTCGCCGCAAAACGCACGCAGCGCTCCGCACGCGAGCTGTGGTAGGGGCACGAGGGATGACATTGGCCACATTACGAGACTTGGCTCTCTGGCGAACCATGCCGCCCCCTCGTTTTCCTCTTTATCTCTCGCGCTTCATTCATTCCTTCCGTGACTTCTCTCGTTCTCTATGCCCGTCGACGGAGAAAGAATTTCTCTCCTATTACTTTTTTTTCGCCATTCCACCGTTTCGACTGCCTACTGTCGCTGCTTTCTCCGCACGCGCGCCCGTGCCTTGCTGTCATAAATGCTTGCATGCTTTGATTGCGTTCGTCAAGAATGCAGCGCGGAGATCGTTAAGACTCCAGGTGTTCTTCATTCGTTAGATTTCGTGTTTGGTCTCTTTTATACAGCTTATAGACGAAAAAAAATGTAAATGATCGATCCACTGTTCTGCTGCGAGTTCATCGTTACTAATATTCACACTAGGTGTAGATAGAATACCAATCTCAATAGAATTCACCAATACACCTATAGTCTTTAGCTCGAATGCATGTTTTTGAATTAACATGTCGAACAGGATCGCTGTGCCAGAAATAAAGTTCGAAACTCAAATTCGAAAACTTTCATGTCGCTCGTAAAAATGCGCAAAGAAAAGGCTTGCCGATCTCTCGGCCGCTAGCAGGGTAAGGCTATATTTACTGCGCGACGATAAATTTCAGTTACGGGAGCGTGTAAAGTTCGCCCGCACCGCCGCCGGATTGCATTGCTTCCTTTTATCGAGGGCCACGTAGCAAACAAGTTTAACCAGATTAGATTCGGCGGCTGCTGTCTTCTCCCTTCTCTCACGATTTCGAAGGAGGATTAGGTGTCGGGAGAAAAAAATGCGGATTATCGAGAAAAAACGATTTGTGATGAGAAAGAGGAGCCTGCTGCTGCTGCTGCATCGTCGGAGGATAAAAAAGGTCGACGCGCGAGGAAAAATAAAGATTTCCGAAGGGTTTGCCAAGGCAAATGAAAAGGAGGGACAGTCGGAGAGGCCGAAAAAAAGGAAATTCTGCCATTGCGCTTCATCTTCTCGAGTGGAGTCATTACTTTCTTTTGGCCGGCGCCGCCGACGCCGCGTTGCACGGAAAGCGCTTCTCTTGTAAACATTCCCCCTCTATTTGGTCGACGTTATCTTCCTCCGAGATATTACCGTGCGTTTTTCAATTGCGATAGAGAGAGAGAGAGAGAGAGAGAGAGAGAGAAAAGAGAGAGCATTGATTGTTTTCTTACATTTGCCCGAATTTTCCGAGAGCCCTTCTTGTTTTTAGTGCTGTTTTCCAACTTGTCATGTTTACAGGCCCGTTTTATTATAAACCGTGTTATTTCAAAAGGTTCTGCTCGAAGGTTTCATTCAAACAATCTGAATGATACATTCACTGTTGTAATTTAATGCTTTAATATAAATGTTCAAAATTTCCTTTCGTTAACAAATTCATAAATACATTGCAGTCATGTTTTAACGATTTCCATTTCAACCAAACGGTAACATTGGATATTCGATAACATTGAAAATTACTCGGTAAAATTGAAAAATAGCCAAGTTCTCTTGGCAAAATATTTAGCTGGCCAAACATCACTCAAAAGTCACAACGGAATTTCAAAGTAAAACATGTACGCACATAGAAAAACGCGAGCGACTGGAGTGGCGAAATAACAATGCTATTCTATATTGTTTCAACCCGTTCTCTCCGTGCTCTGCTAAAGTGTCATCGGCAAGCGCTCACGGTGAAAAAACCGAGAGCTTGCGTATGTGCATTTCGAGCTGTCAATTTAGGTGTAGGGTCAATTCGATTGGCTAAATTCTTTTTTTTTGTTCGTCTCTCTGATATCGACATGTTTGAAATATCAGGCGGTGCACTCTTGATAGGCATCATCGTACGTGCCCATCCAGTAATCCGAGAGATTTCTATCTCTCTCTTCCTCTCTCGCGCTGTGGCTGTTTCTATTGCTATACTGTCGTTATTTATTCCGCAGCATATGTAGTGAGTAAACTTGCGGTCTTTTATTATTTAAAATTTTTTTTACAGACTTGACGAGTAGCTTCCACAAATTTTTGCTTTTATGGGATTATATTTCAAGTCAAAGTCGGCCAAGTTTTCTTCTTTTATGCGATGACGAATTAAATATACATACGCACGAGAGTATACAATTAGTAATTGGAGCTTCTCAATTTTGAGTGAACCGAGCAGTTTAATGGAATTAGGTTTGATTGTGTGCCGTTGGCATTGATAATGTATCAAATTGCCTTGAAAGCCACGAATGGGAACGTAAGCTCTGATACAGAACCGACACCCGAAACTTCCTAATTCCGAAAAATCCCAAGATCATGATGAGCTAGAAGTAGTGTGAAGAGCTAATAGTAATAATTATGCAGATCTGTACACATATATCCTTAATCCACGTCGACAATACGCGCGGCACGTTGCGGAACATTCCTGCCTCGTTTCCTCGCACGAGACTGCAGACGATGTACACACGTATAGCATATCTCCGATATTCCCGGGAAGCCCCGAGCCCGCGTTATATGTGTGTGTGTATATATATATATATATATACGTAAATGCAGTGCATTGTCGTCGATCCGAAGACGACGTTGAATCGCTCTCGCTGCACTATCCGCGGAATAATTGAGCGCCGCGACTCGGCGCGCGAACGTGCAGCAGTATAGCAGGGTCCTTAATGCATAAAGTGCCTGCATGTCTGCGACGAGATAATGGCTCGTTGTGTGCTGCCATTATGCCAACTTTCCAGCAATGTCTCGTCCAACTGCTGCACGCGCGCGGTCTTTATTGATTATCGATACTTGCGAGAATTTATAGTGGAACGATGCTTATGTGCGGCTTTGCTATTGCACCTATTTAGGCTTATCTAAATTTATCGCTCTCGTGCGCAAATTACGACAAATTTAATTTTCTTCCGATACGAGTTTCACGGATTTTTTCCTTCCACTTGTCTTTCACGCGAAAAATCTCAGCGTCTGGCCTTTCTCATCCCGCTCGTGAGCTGCTCGATCTCGTTGTTTTCTTGCTTCTTTTTCTCATCACTCTTCTCTTCTGCTTCTTTACCGAGCTAACACACAGAGAGTAAGTAGTGAAGTAAACGCGTGTCTTTCGCTCCAAACGTGCCGTGCATGCTCCGCGCAGCAGCAGCAGCACCAGCAGCAGCAGCAAGAAAGTGACGAGGGAGGGAGGGAGGGAGGGAGTGAGAGAGGCACTCGCACACACACGCGCGAATGAGGGCATTCGAGCGGGCGCCGACCAATCAGGTTGATTGGCCCACTGGTATTTACATTTCTACAGAGGAGGAACGCACTTGTGCCGTGCTCCGCGAATTCCAGCGAGACAATGAGCTACAGAGAGTCGCCCGGCTCGATCAACCGATTGATGTCTACTCACAAAAGCGCCGATGAGGCTTGTTGAGGAATTTTCCCGTACGTGCCTTGTATTATTTCGTACGAGAGCGCCTAGTCCACTCGCCAAAAGAGAAACTAAGTCAAGGAGTGCGCACTGATAAGAAGAAACAAAGTTTTCTTAAAAGGAGTCCAAAAAGTTTCTCTGGCGCCTAGTAATTAAAGAAGACGGCGAGACGCGCGGCCATTAAAGATGAAAAAAGCAAAGGAATCCATCTCCCAAGTTCGGTGAACTAAAAGATAAATGTTAGATTTCCACGAGAGTACGAGTGTCTTGCACAATTCGTGCACAGCTCAAACCGTATTATATACGTGAGTAGAGATGTTGGGATGAGGAGGTCGTCGTGCGCGCAACTACGCTAACTTTTGCACGATTTAATGCTGTCCAATTATTTACTTTAGCTAGCTGCGATAAAATTTAAAGTTTTCCAGCTGCTACTGCCGGCCCGCGTATTTACCGCTACTTTGCTGCCAACTTTTCCTTTTTTCCAGTGACAGAGTATTAAATCCAACGGATAAAAAGAAAAAAAAACTTGTGTACTTTGTTATGCAACAATCAAAATGTACACTTTCCGACATCGTTCATTCTTATAGTCTTGACATTTATCGCGCTTGAACTTTCTTTGACGCGACGATGAAAATCACTTTGCCCGGGAGCTCATCTTCGCGTGTGCGCGGAAAAATAATGCGCATAGCTGCTCGCGCGAGCGCGCGAGCGAAGGAATCAATTTTCAGAGCGAATGCCCGAAGGCAATTCGGCGACGTCGAATCATAATTTATGGATCGTCGCGTTTCGCTCGCTCGCTCGGGGTTCCTACTGCGCGCGCGGGATTTTAAGTTTAAACGGCTTGTTAGCTCTCGCGGCTTTGTGCAGAGAAGCATTGATGGATGTAGAGCGCGGTGACGCGTTACCTTAGCTGCCAAAGATGGGTATGTATCCCCGCGAGGAATTGTACTTTACTGTATTTGCTCAACATAATTAGTGTTTACCGAAACCGAGGCCTAGACACCAATTTTCCTCAGTTGTCTGTAGCATTACACGATCTTTTTTCTTACGTGCTGTAGTTTTCTGTCGTGGTTGAGTGATTTGTTCTTGCAATACAAATGGATGATTCGTATTTCACTATTAGCTTGTCTAACGGGAGACAGAAATTTTCAGTTTTATTATGACATTGACTATATTACTCGGGACAAGAGAACCAGAGCTCCATCTAGAATCGGAACTCGAGCCTTGATAAAAATGTTAAATTCAGCATATGATCTGTTTCAAACTGAGAAGCATAACAAAAGATTTAGCGTAGATTGAAGCACTCACCGATTAAAACAATGGAGAAGTAAAAGAAACTGGATAGCTGACCTGTAATACAAAA